CTAAGAAGTGTTTTGTCACTTACTATAGAACGAGGCATATGTGGACAAGCATTAGAAAATAAAATGGTGGTTACTTGCTGGTAATTGACATTTTTCAGGGTGTGTTGTTCATTTCCACATTTGCTTCCAACTCTGCTTTGCTTTTCTTCTTGGAGCGAGGAACAAAAAATGGAGGTTGGATGTCACCTTGGAAAGTGAGGAGACACAGTGTGCACACACAAAATGTACGCGCTTAGCCTAAAGCAAGCCATGATATGAATAGGATATGGTTATTACAGCTAGATGAATGTTAGTAACATGTAACAGCTTTCTCTTTCGTCTTACATCTTTGGCCTGAACTTGGTTTCAGCTATAATCAGTGCTGCTCTGGTGATCCCACAGCGTGGTAGTATTCTGTAGTGCCAGTGGCTCCTTAGAAAACCTCAGTAAAGGATAAGCTTCTGCTTCTTTCTTAATTCGTTCTTTCTGGAAGAGAAGGACATAACAGGGAAGGGTCACTATTTATATCCTATTGTATGTAATAAATCTTTAGAAAGATAGCAGCTTTTCATAGAAATAACTAGGCAAGGATTCCAAATGCTGAGAAAAGCCATTAAATTCCTTAAGAGGTGAATTGCTCTTTTGGAGCTATAGATAGCTTAAGCAATAGCGAGCTATTGTTATAATTTACCTGGACATCAGTATTTCTTGCATTCTTTTGCAATAGCCTAATAAAGAAAAGAAGAAGACGGGAAGAAAAAACATGAAAGTGGAGGGGTTTCTAATGATTTTCTTCTTCCTCTGAATAGAACATGGTGAAGAGATTGTGGGATGCACAAAGCCATTGAGTTTTCAGTGACAGCTGTTGCCGTTGGAGAGATGAGAGCACTTGGCCCAAGAGTCTGTTTATATGTTTGAGCAGAGAAAGTGATTTTCATTGCAAGGAGCTCTAAGTGAGACAGGCAGAGTCAGAGAATGAGAGCGCAAAAGATAATTATCTAAATTATCTTCAGGCTGTTATAGAAGACGAATATAGTTAAAATGTAATTAAATATGACAGGCTGACATGATGCCAGCATGGCTTCGGAATGCTAATCATCAATTACTGCATCTCCTTAGGGGAGGCGGGCAGAACGAGAGAGTTAGAAGTCGGGTGGCTGAGGTGAGATGTAGAGTGTTAAATAACACCGTAGGACTGTAACAAGGCTAATTTCTTTTGGAAAATGGAGCTGTGTTATCAGGGGACCTTTGCTATCCAAAAAACTTGTAGTGCTGCATTTCAGCTTGAGGACCCTGGTATAAACCTGAGTAGGCTGCTAGTCCCGAGTCTTCTCTGAGAGATGTAAACATCAGCTTGAGGTAATGATTATTTCTGTTGTGAAAGTGATGACCAGGACTGCTGCGGATTGAGCAGCAAATCTAAAATGAATCAGCCAGCAAGACAGGTGTGAAAGCAGAAAAAAAGATCAACGCTTCCTGAACATTTAAAAAAGCTAAACCCTGAAAAATCTGTTATAGAGTCACTAATAAGGAGTACAGAGATACAGCGAGTCCAAAGAGGATGATGTCAGTTTATGGGAGAAGTAAGTTCTGATAGCTTCTTTATGACCGTGTCCTAGGTAAAGAAGGTGAAAGTATTGCCACCAGCTTGAAAGATTTGTTTGCTTGGCATATGGGGAGTAAAGGTGAAGAAATGGCATCTATTATACAGAAGTATCTAATCCCAGACCAAAAATGAGGTGCTTTTGATAGGTTTTCATGTTGCTGTTCCTGGAATAGAGTGACTTACGTAGGAATCAATACCAGAGCTATGTATAAAGTTTGGAGGAAATTTTTATAAAGACCATCAAAAGCAATTTTGAGGATAGAAAGTCTAGCTCTTGTGAGGAAAGTATAAAATAAGCACATATGCATGGCATGACTACACAAATGGCATGACTACAAAATAATTTGCAAAATAAAATTTCTACAGAGAAGCTGAAATTATTACAATAGTACCAGAAGAGATAACTAGTAGTAAAAGAAGAAGATGAAAAAGAAACTTAAGGCTTACCTATTATGTCTTTAATTTAATCAAGGAACACCACTGAACAATTGTTATGGCTTGATACATAAATAGGAGTCTTACTGAATTTGTTATATCAGCAAAAAATGCAGAAAGAGGGCAGATAAGCTTTGATAATGTTCTGTCAGTAATCTCTCTTCCCATATGGGTATAGTTACGCTGCATAAATTATCTTTTTGCTGCATAATAGTATCTGTACTGGAGAGGTATTGCTTTGTACATATCGGATGTTCTCAAATGTACTGTTAAACTCGAAATCAGTGCAACTTTGTAGTGAAGATGGTTTGCCTTGCTTATTTCAAAAGTGACTTTTTCCAAATCTATTTGGATTCTTTTCTACTTTGTTTTTTCCTTTTTGCTAAGGAAATAAACTGAGAGACCTAATTTTCTAATTATCCCATCAAGTACTAATACTCTAGTGGCAATATTCTTGAATTTTAATAACTCTTCTACAAATTGTCTATAATTTTGACTTTCTTTTTACAATGGGAAAGGAATAAAATGGACACATACCAAAACAGTCAATATTCTTAGGACCAAATTTATTGGAAACCCTATCTCCCTTCAAGTCTCATATCCTCAAGAATTTTTTTTACTATTTTCTATCACATTTTAATATTATTAAAAGGGTAATTATAAACCAATCCTAATAACAGCATTGTAGCAGAAAGTAAGGACTTGTGATGCAGTGGAAAGTGGAAGAACTTAGGAGCTTCCTGGAGGAGCTGGTTTAGAAGTGTGTTGTCAAAAGGATCTTCAGGAGCCTTTTTCTCAACCTCTCTTAATATCTGTCATGCTCTTCAGCTGTATTCCCAAATAGATGTGTCAGCTTCCTTGTTGTTACTTCATATGACAGACAAGGCATTTCTGCCACCTTTGGAAAATCTGCACTGAACTCTTGCAGTGTCTATTTGACCAGTGCTCAGAAGTACTATAAATAAATACAGACCCATTTATATTTTATTCTATGATCTCTAATTAACCTATTTTCTTGCCACAGAACACAAACTCTACCTTAGAGGCTAGGAAGGCATAGGCTGTTCTTAATAGCTTCTTTAGGATTTTAAATTCTTTTATTTAGAATAGCTTTAGAATATTTCCCAAATCACTAAATAGGGAAATCTGGTTTTTACATCATCACTCTCCTTGCATAAAGTGCGTGCGTGTAAATCTGAAAGCATATGCATAATGCAGACTACGGCAATACTTTGTTACGAGTGCAATTGTCTGATTATCCCAGCCAGTCATCTTTGGGGCTCTATACTTCAAGGTAACAAGTTACGTTTGGCCATGAAGATTAACTGACTGGCGGTGCTAGAGTAATATGAGAAGGAAACTCAAGAATTGTTCTCCTGTTTACGGAAAAAAATGTTTAAATCATAGCAATCTTTCAGGTCTTGAGACAGTCAACAAAATAGTTCATTCTCGTCTTATATTTTATTTAGAGCTTGAAAATACAGCCTGAGCTTTAAAATAAGGAGGACATAGCCACATAACGGATATAAATAAACCATGCCGTTAGATAGATAACTGCTGTACCTCTGAGGCCTGACACAGACTGCACGTTTCTATTATGATGAGTAACTCTAATTACATCCATTACTTCATGCAGTAATACCAGAAAACTACTTGAAATTAGGTCTTGATTGGGCTCATAATCTTCTTTAAGCAAATATAACCTGACAGCAGTGATAAAAAGAATAGTCGACTAAATTAAACCCAGAAATGCTATGTTTGTGACAAAGAGGTTTTCCTACTAAGGGAAAATTCAAGTGCCTGACAAATAGTCAGGCTCTGGGGTGGTCTACTGGTGGTGAATGGTGTTTTTTTCCCGTTTTGCTTTGGTCCCTTATTTCTTGTACGAACACTACTGAAAGTATTCTGAACACATTCAGGAAAACTATCCAATGTTTTTCATCTGTAGTGAGTTCATCAAGTTATACTTAACTGAAGCCTTCTGTGGTAGAGTCTAGTTTTGCTAAAAAGTTTAATTCTGCATGTAACTTTCATGTTTTATGAATATAAAATAATTTAAATTCTAATGTGTTCAAGTACTAATCTAGTGTAGTGGAAGACTGGCATCAAACTGAAACCTCTAGGTCCTATTACTCCTTTTGTTTCTTCTGTTTTACTGTCAGTGTGTTCTGTAAGCACAAAGGTATGGTAGGAATTGGTGTCCTTTATCCTGCTGTGTATTAGGCTACTTGAGGTGTTGTACCTCACCCAGATTGGAAGAGTATGAATGAGGAAGGAAGATTATTCTGGTCCCAGACTACCTCTAGTGTTCTCAGTCTGGCCCAAGAAGTTACACTCCAGCTCTGGGGGGGTGGTCTGTTCTCCCCACTGCCTCTGTGTTGGGATGGGGAAATCCTCACAACCTGAACTGCGAAGAATGCTTTACGTCATTCGTAATTTACTGGAAGGACCTTGGCCCACACAAGGGAAGCTTAGCTCCTCTGCCTCCACTGCTCCACTTAGAGTGGGAGGAGTTTATTTGAGGGTTTGGGTGGGTTTTTTTTCCCTAGAGCTGTAATTTTCTTTAAACAAGCTCTGATGATTTCTCATGAGTAGTTAACAGATGGATGCATTTACTTTTATTTATCTGATCTTTTGTTTATCTAATACAGTCAATATTAGTCAAGGATTTTAGACTTTGATTCAGGGGTTTTTTTTCTTTTACCATTTCCTTAACTTTCAGCAATAGGATGAGTATTATTCCTACATGCAAATTATAGTAGAATAAGGTATGTATGAAAACACATAAGCAGAGTCAAGGCACTTAAAAATAAAAATGAACAAGGAGTGCTGGAAATTCAGGTGATGGAAAGTGTTTCTCTGTTTGCCCTGTTAAGTGATAATAGTGTGTACTGTCACTTGAATGGATTCTCTGTATATGTTACTGTAAGCTGTTGTGACCGTGTTTAATATTTGTATGTCTTTCTGGGATTTTTTGCAGATCCTGGCAAACAATCACTTTTGATAAACAGCCAGCATCTTTTATCAGAATAGTTGGAACTCACAACACAGCTAATGAGGTAAGGAACTTTTAAGAAAGCCTATATTCTTCACTAACATACAACAGTAGAGTTTTTCATATCTTGCAGTGAAATTGATAATGCCTTCTAAAATGTACTTGCTTCAATTTTTTACTCTGGCAATCTAGCAAAACAAGAATGAATGCTTTTCTTATTTGAGTATTTGTGAACTGCGTTATCGTCTTCCCTACAGAGTTAAAGGGCTGTTGCCAGTCTGGGGGATATTTTGGGGGTTTTACAGACAAAGTACAGTAAAGTGTTTCTGGTTTTGACCTTTCCACAGTGCCATCAAACATGCCTATTGGGATTGGTTTTAAATTAATCCTTATTTTGATGAATGATGAAAATACCATTTTAGTACACTAGAGAAAGGTGTATAGTCTCCGATTACTTGGTTTTATCACCTTTACATTATCTTTTTAATGAATAAAACATAAGAAAAATCTCACTCTTTTTAAGAAAATCTTATTTGCATAAGATTCTCTTATAAATAATTTTCATACCTGGTAAATTGGTTCACCAATAGTGGCCAAACCAAGATATTTTTTTCAATTCATTTTATACAGAAAAAATATATTTTGCCCTAACCGATCAAGTGCAGTATCATCCTCTTTTTGTTTACTTGTGCTTCTGTCTTTCATAATTGTTGTGTATTGTCTCAGATGAAGTCCAGATTTTACAGTTGACTTCAGTGAAACAATTTGCAATCTGTGCATTTAAGAATATATGTAAGTCTTTGTGAAATTAGGACTTTATATGACAAGATTGTAAGAGGCACCAAAAGCTGCTGCTTCTGTGTGTATGCGTGCATGTCTACAAGTTATACTTAAAGTTCACCACAAAACATTGTACTTTCACACTTTACAATGCACTTTGGATAGCACTATTACATCTGTAGTAATTAGAGTTTGTCAGCTCTAGGAGTCAGGATTTCTGATCATATTTAGCATATGGGGTTGCTGGTTCTTAAGCATTGGAAGAATTGCCAAATATATAGCATTGTTTATGTCCAATTTTAGAGCAGTTATTGCAAACATAGGCACCACCAGATGTCAACGATAGTGCTCAGCAGACAGTTGGAAAGAAGCTGACCAATCAACTGAACTGGGAATACAATTTTTTTTTTCTTCTAAGCACTGTCTCTTGCGGTGTACAGTTCAGTCTTTAATCAGTGAGTTCTTAGAAATACAGGGTCAGAAGCTGCCTCCAGGGTTGTTGTACATGCATGAAGAAGGCCTTTTCCGTTACTAATCCGTATAGACAGTCTCGTTTGCTCTCACGCTGGTCTCTGTAAGTTCTCATCTCTTTATCAAAAAAGAAAGAGGTGGGTTGCGTAAAATTAGCAAATCAGCCTACAAGAAACGTTACCTCCAACTTGTAATTCTTAAAGGTAGCTTTAAGACCTGAAGAGTAATAGGCTTTTAAACATAATTCTAATTTCAAATTGGTTACTATTTCCAAGGAATTTAATATCCTGTGTAGTTATTTATATGGAGCACTGCGTAACTATAGTGAAGATCCGTACGTGCAAATTGAGGTTACAGCTATTCATGTAGTCACTCAGTGGAACTATAAACACATGCTGCTGTTCTAGGTCTTTTCCTCTTTTGTTTTTAAAACCTGTACCCAACACTAATTTTTTTTTTTTTTTTTTTAATATTTCTCCTAAAGCTTGTAGAGGAGGAACATTATCAGCATGCACATATTACTAAATTACATTTTTTGATACATATTAAACAGATGGTCTGTAACATTTTGTCATAAATTTTCATTTTCCAAAGAAGACAGCAAGATATTTTTCATAGTTCCAATTTAAATAGTAACAGTGTAACCGAAGTCTTGGTTTGTTCTGGAGCCTACAGTCTTGGTAGTCTCTTCAGTAGGAACACAAGCAGTTTCCAGAATTATTTGCCCACAGCTGATTATATTTTATGTCAAACCATTCTCATTTTAAACAAAAGATGCTAATGGCAGCATATTCTCATCAAAGAGTTTTACTGTAATAAGTACAAAAATATTCCCTACTTGTTCTGGCAGCACATACCTTTGAACTTTGAAGATACTTTCCAAAGGGAAGAGTTGATTTTTGGAATTGCAAAAAATCCCATCAAATTTCTCCATTTTGTGAATTATTTTATCTTTTAAACTCATCTTTTCCTTTGTCATGTTTTCCAAGTTTTGAAAGACATGATATTCACAGACTTTTTTGACCTGGCATTTGAATATTTTCTGGTATGTTAGAATGTGATAGAAGTGTAACTTTTTGTTTTCTTGAGCTTCCAGATATCCTACTTTTATAAAGAAAAGAATTATTTTTCCTTAGTCCTTGTCATCATTTATTTGTCGGACAGGTCACCTGATACTTTGTAAGTTTTATCTTGTTATTCCTTCTCAGTATTACTGACCTGGAAAGGACACCTGGTTGCTAATGTGAGAGCTTTATCTTACAAATTACTGCACCAGTGTGTATGTACTCAGCCTTCCTGCTTTGTATGTCAGACCTTTCTTAAAATATCCATGAGAAGTATAATATGCCGTTGATCAGAGGATGATGCTGAACTGTCATGTCTGCCTTTTGAGAGAAACACATGCAGGATTGTTTGTTTTAGTAATACTGTTCTGAAATACGTAATTCCGATATTGGATGAAGCAGGTGAGCTCAATTGTACCTCTCTGTCCTCTGCTTCTTTCACAAGCTGTATTCTTTATATGTTGAAGTGGCAGAGAAACTGAAAATAATGTTGTAAATTCACAGGCTTGTTAATGTGCCAGATGCTGAGTTGAACATTAAGAGTTTAGTATAAAAGAATCAGTAAAAATGAAAGTTACAATTTAAGAATCGGGTATCTCAGACTTTGTAGACTAGTATTAGCTAAACTTCAGTGATATCCATACTATATTTCAAAAAGCATGCCTCACTATGAAAGTGAAGTTTTAAGTGAGAAACACTATTGGTGTGGGATACAGTAGAAATATGGAATCTTCTGACTTGGAGACCTCCATCCCATTCATTAGACTGTGCTGCCTTTCAAGGAAAGCAGCACCTTACAGAGGTGCACTGATGAGATAACGTTCCTTTCTGCAAATCCTGATGCTGATAAGCGCAGCTGGAAAAATGACAATAGCTGTTACTTTAAAAACATGGAAGTGGGATGAGTATAAAAGGGGCTTCTCAAGAAGTGTTGCTGAATGCAAAAATTGGCTTCTCAAGAGCTGTAACAGATGGAGAGAATTCTTGCTACTGTAGAAATTAGTTCGGCTTTAGAAAAAAACCTCGCAGAGGAAATGCAGAGAAAAACCATTTTGTACACACGTGTGTATGTGTGGGTACGGGTGTAGATTGGGAATCTGTTCATACGTGTATATATAAAGGTATAGCGATACATCTTTATGGGAGCATGTGTGTATATATAGAAATACAAACATGCATCGCTATGTATCTGTATAAAAACCTGTGAGAATTCTTACACTGAGAGGCACAAGAAAATATAACGGGGATAAAAAAAACCAGTGACTGTGAATATTTTTTTTATTCTTTCAGTGTATGCTGTCAGAATTTGAATTAGCTAGCTACCTCCTCAGAAAAGACCCAGGGGCTATTGCAGACATGTCATTGCAGACGTCTGCTCCATGTGCACTTGAGCAGGGATGGACAAAAAGAGTAATAGGACTTTCGGTTGTGTTTAAGAAAGGATAGAAAATACAATATTCTGTAGTTTTGTATGAATATGTAGTATACCCATGTCTTGTTTATGGTATTTGGTTTTGCCCACATTAACTTGAAAGGGTCTGGGAAAGGGCAGTTAAGATTATAAAAGATTACCTTTGTTTGTGAGAAGAGTTTTAAAAACGTGACCTACTTGCAAGAAGAACGATATAAGATGTCATAAACGCATATAAAATTAAGTTAAAACAATAATTCTAAAATTCAGTTTTTCATACTCATCAAGCTTTAGCTATAAAACTGCGATGCATGAGAAAATAGCAAATTTTAAATCAGTATAAGAAAAGATTTATTTGTGTAGTATGTGGCAAAGCTGTGCAATTCGTAGCAATGAGAAATAATGTGGAAAGAAGTTTTGTAACCGTTTTAAAGAGTTCCTCCCCCTTCTCCTCCCAGCCACTTCAAGAACAAGTAGAAGTAAGAGTAAGTAAAGTAGAAAATAAATGGGAAAAAATGCTTAAACAGATGGTCCTCTTATTCTGAGATACAGTCACCTGTACAGTGGTCCCAGGTATTGTTTGAAACATCAGAAAATGATCACTGTTTGAAGTGGAATATTTCAACTGTTGAAGCAGCAGCCTCCTTGGACACTCTGAATGCCTTTCTACATACTCCAGGATACATCTGCAGAGCTACCATTGCTATTACAGCAGAGGGCAATCTTGAAATAGAATCATATTGGTAATGATTTAAATTTCATTTCTAGTGTGCGTGAACATTCAGTCTTTGAGGAAGTAATTAGATCATAAGATACATTTAAGACAATGAATATAATTGTTGTTGTCATCCGATAGCATGTAGTAGGTATTTATGCTACTTGGCAAAGAAAAAAATCATTTACAAATACCTCTATCCACTTTGGAACCGTCCTTCTGCTTTTTAGTGCCATACGTAAAGGTTGGTATAATTTGAAGGCCTTCTCTTGCTCCACTTGTATCACTTTATAAAGTTTATGGCCCACAGACAGATGTTTTTGACCTCATGGTGAAACATTCTAATTTGACCAAGTACTTTGGCACTGACCTGGCCTGCATACTTCCATATAGACTTCATCTTACTTTGATCATGCTTTTGCCAGCATTTAATTGTTTTGCTTTATCTTCATGTTTTGTTCTCTCCAGGTGTTTCACTGTGTGCATTTTGAGTGCCCAGCACAAAACAGTACCCACAAGGATGAGAGTAGTAAGGAAGTGGCAACAACGGAGGTGGAGACTGGTGGACAGCAGCTTGTTTCTCGCCCCGTTCAAGTTGCAAGCACTAGTTCCCTGCATTCCTCTCCTGGATCCACCTCGCGTTCACATGCTCACCAACCGTAAAGGAGATTGAAAGGGAGCTTTTGCAGCCCTGCTGACATTGTATGAAATTATTCAGAACCTTCTCGTGCTGGCATCTTTTCTTTCTTTTTCTCTCTGAACAAAGGGGACCATGTCTGAAAGCTGGAAATGCTGAAATGGAAAAGGCTTTTCCCAAGGACATGAAGAGACTCCTTCACTCTCCTCAATTTGTTCAAATCAGGCTGGCCTCCGAGGGGGGAGAAAATAAGTCTTCAATCTTCATCAAGTACCCCATTAACACCCTACCTCTCTAATCTAACCAAGACAAGGAGAACAGAAGGAAATAAAAGGCAGAGCTACAGTGGAAATCTAAAATGATTCGAGCAGAATGGAAGGCATATGAAATAAGTATTTGTTTCCTGAAGGCTTCCATTAGCAAAGAAAATGTTTATGGAACACATCAGTCCAGAACGCATGTTATTTTTAAAAGTTATTCTCCATTCATATTCCTTTGTAACTAGTAATCTGTTTTCTAAATTGTTTTGACTCGGTATTCCACTTCGTCTCTTATTTTTGGCTGTAGCAAATGCTGTGCAGTAGATTAAGGAAGTATCAAACATGTTTACCTGCTGAGATGCAAATTCCCTCATTCATCAGTGGGATGACAAGAAAAGCCTTCATTATATCAACAAACTAATTAATCTTGACCTTAGTTGACTTTTCAAAGTACGAAATTGTCACTTCTTACACTCAAAAAGGAAATGCCTAAATTAAGCATCCCTCTTGAAGAAAAACATATTTTTCACTCCTGAAGATGATTATTTAAATTTTACCTGTATTTCTAAGAAAACTTGCAACAGATCATCAAAAATGTTTAGTTTAGAAAAGTGGAACTGCATCTGGTCGCTGACAAGCAGTTGTTCAGAATACAAAAAGAAGAATTTGCAGATACTTTTTTTTTTCCAAGAAAAAAATGTTTTACAGTCTGGAGCTAAAAATTCAAAGGCTGTGTGTGCTAAAAGCTTCTCGTAGTCTTCATAAAATATGATGCTTTTACCCTGTATTGTAAAAGATCTGGCTCTTACTTTGCAGTCACAGAATTCATTATCCATCTATGTCTGTCTGGATTACATTGCCTGCTACTTTGCTTATTCTAAGTGTTTCCACACTGATGATGCTGCTGCAGTGTTTTACTCCAGGTCTACGTGACTTTTAGGAAGAGCTCCATGTTGGTCTTTCAGTATGGGATAAAGTGATTTTGTATTAAGACAAATGCTGATGTAATTGGCAAAATTGATTAGGAGGGTTGTTACTCCTTACAAAGTATATTATATCGGAAATGTCAGCTATCCAGTTTTATGAACTTGGAATTTCCTGTGGTGACGAATAGCCTTGTCAGAAGAAAACAAAGCTAGTGTAGGATAAATACAGTTTTCCTTTGCATAACCATAGTGATAAAATGAGTTATATCAACATAGCAAATAGTGTGTTAATTTATCACACGACTTAATGTGAAAGAATTTCCTTGTTGGATACTGCTTGTGCTAAAACCAGGAAGAAATATAACAAGTGCTAGCAATGAATCAGTAGAAACTTCGAAGGAGAAAAGCTTCCTTCTTCTTGTTTCAAATAAAATTGATTAGGCTTTATCAATAATATTACAGTATTTTTCATTGCCAAATTGCGGTTCAGTTCTGACATTTGCATACAGCCCCCTCCCTTCCCACTGCTGTCTTTTGTCTTGTGAATGTCTGTCGGTGAAGATGCATGCCCATTGCATTATATATAGCTTCTAGCATGTGCCACAGCTGCCTCAGACAGTCTAGAGTTCTGAGGCAGGATACTGCTCGTGCCGGCCAGCACCTAGTCTGGCGTCCTGATTACCTTATGGCTTAACAGCCTTTGGAGCATGAAAGTATTGAGACCAGCTACTGGGGACACAACTCTCTTGCTTAAGTATAGGTCCAAAAAGTTGGATTTTTTTCTTTTTTGCCTTTGAGAAGTAAAACCAGAAAACTTTTCTATTCTGGTTGTAATCCATGCTGGAACTACTGAGATGCATGGAGCATGTCTTGTCTTTGGTAGATAAGTCCTTCCGTGTCAGTGGTGGTATTTCTTTGCAGTTTGATCAAACAAGTTTGCTTTTCTCAAGCTGTGGATAAGCAAAGGGCATAACTTCCTAGCTGTTAGTCTTTAGTGGTCACCATTGTAGAGAATGTTTAAAAAAAAAAATTTGAAAAGTTTGTGCCAGCTTTCTGAGTCTAGGCTCTCAGAGAAAGAACAGGATTTTCAGTTTGTAATCTTTGATGTGCACGATTAATTTTTGTGATACAAATAAGTCTTGTAGACTATAACCTAGTGCAAGTCTTTTTGATCTTGTCCTATGACTCACTGTTGAACAGAAATGTCTATTTATTTCCCATGATATTCACTCTCTGCCAAGAATCTGAATGAACAGATCTGAGAGATTCCCAAAGCAAGAACTATCAGGTCCTATAGACCCTCCAGTTCCCCACCCCCAAAAATCAATCAAAACAAAAACCAACTTTGCATTGTCCCTTCATACAGGTGAATAGAAATTTTTAGTATTAGACTCATTCTCAGTCACACATGGCCTTTCTCACAGTCTTTATTTTCTTCTGTTAGAGTTACTCTTAGAACCTGCCTCTGAGGTGAGTCCAATGTGATCACAGAGCTCCCAGGCTTTTAAGACAAGCCCTGCCACAACTTCACGTTTTCTAGCGGGAATCCTTTACCTTTTTATTCAAAGAAATAATGTCGAAATGTTTAAGGGACCTGAACTCTGCTTGGTCTTCTAACACTACCCGCCAGCAAACACCCCTAATATCTGTATTGCTGAGTATAGGTCTCTCTCTTAAACATCGTGTCAGCAACATATTACTAGTGACAAAGGAAGATACCACACAGAACTGATTTGTGGTTTGGTGTGGATGTTCTCATTCTTTCTAATTATTGTCTGTATTTATTGACTCCCAATTTCAGATGTAGTTCTTGTATATTCTTCTGACATATTTTTTTTCTTTTTTCTTTTTTTTCTTTTTTTCTTTCCTTTCAGTGGAAGTAAGTTGTGCTGTTATGGCTTAATGTCAGGGTTTGTCAGAGTGATGAAATATTATAATTATTCAGAACTGTGTTACCACTTACATTTTATTTGCAACAGGGGTAGAGCAGAACTGACCAGGTATTCATTGCTTTCTTGTCAGAAACTATAAAACAGACCTGTTGTTAAAATTTCTACATAATGGAACTAACTTTATTGTCACTATTGAGCCATTATTTCTGTTTAGTACTTTAGTATCTTTAAATTCCCCAGGCCTCATTTTCTCAGTTTTTCTTCCATAGGTTGAATTCAGACTTCGGCTCAACTCATATGGAGCTCAACAAAGCTCTTTCTAAAGTCTCTTTATTTAATTAACTTATTCCAAGTGCATTTAAAAGATTTTTATTCACAGAAATACAGCCAAATATCAACTCCTTAAAACTGATTTATCCAGGAAGATTAATTTCTGAAGTGAGCAAAAATTGTGCAGCTCTGTTTTCAAGCCATTGCCAATCAGCTCTAAAACAAGTTCAGATGGCATGTTAAATGGAATTACAATGAGAGAAGTTAATCCAAGTCTAATGTAAAAGACAATACAGAGGAGGAATAACCAATTTTGTTAAGAGAAGGAACTGTTCTTCATTGCAGTTTCCTTCCTTTAGAGCTTCATTTCTTTATTTTTCCCCATGAAAATCAATTTTTCTTGTTTGTTATGACAACTCATGAAAGAGCTCAGTGCTTCTCAGCATTGCTGAAAAATTTGAATTAATTTCTCTATCTTTACTAATGATAACATTAAATTAGAGAATTTTCAGTTTAGTGTCTGACTTGATGAGAGTTGCTTTCCATGAAAGAAAGCAAAAGATGTGTATAATTGTTCCACTCTAAGTAAATTAAGTTTTCCAGCCAAATGCACGCAAGCATCTACTCATTATTCAACAATGTTTTGTACATCTAGCATCCATGAGAAAATTAGAAGACAAAGTTAATGCCATTCTTGTCTGATTGTTGTGTGTCAGTAGTTCTGGTTATACAGTGATGCCCACTCAGAGACACTCAGTAAGGAATTAGAACTTAGATGTGATTTCACTGAAAGTAGACATGCTATACATTGCATTTCTCTATGAAAGTATTAATTGGCTTATATTTTGACAGGTGAACACATTGGTAATTTTGTTGTTGTGGCTGGAGTAGTCAGCAAATAACCAGAGCCAGTAAGAGTTAATGTATTTAAGAGTAAACGTTGAGGCTTATATGTCATGGTATCAGTTGCCAGAGGACTAAACCATGCTTCAGAAATAGTAATTTGTAGATCCCAGAGGATGCTTGAAGCCTGGTTCCCATCCCCATCTCTCAGTTAATGGTGTATTTAGGTTAGAACCCTTAGTCCTCTCTGAACTGATTGTTGTTGTTGTCAGTTGTACTAGTTAACTCAGATGTATATAGAAGCTCCACAAGGCTTTGGTCAGGATTCAGAAATGAAAGTCCTGGGTCAAGTTTTAGGAGTACCTAAATATTCATATATATATATATATATGTTAAATTGAGCTAGTAGCTAATTATTTAGCTTGAATTTAGAAGAGGTTTTAAAGCTTCAAAACTAAAAAAAAAAAAAAAAATCTGTGCAGGCAGGTGTGAGATGCTACCGTTGTCGTATGGCAGGATGCTGACTCTATTTTATGGTTGCTTAAAAAGTGCAAATGTCTAAACAAGGTATGGGTGAGCAGGTCAAAGCTGGATTTTGCCCAGTTGTTAAATATTGGCAGATTGGCTGTAGTGAGGTTTATAAAATAGAGAAAGTTAAATGCTCATCTCAGAGACGGGTGCAGTCCAAAGAACACACCTATATTCCTCATAGGTACCTTGTATGCTATGGCTTGCAGTGTTTACAGAGTGAGCCTTCATAGGGCTTTTGTTAACTGCTGAAAAAAAGCCTGCAGACTTTTCCTTGGCCCTTCAAAAGCTTTCACTGCAAAGCTTTGGCTGAGGTGATGTCGAAGTCCCAACCATACTCCATGATGGAATCTGGGTCTGTGACTGATTTTGAAAATGCTTAGTAGAAAAATAGTTTTAAAGTCACCCTGCAACTTTTCTTAGAGAAAGAAAGCCCTGTAGTATAATACGAGGAAACTGCAGGTATCTGTCATTTACCAATAGACTGGCTGCCAGTACAACTACATACCAGTTTTATAATACTGTATGTGTTTTAATTACTGTGGTATATACAAACGGTGGAAGGAAGTGAAGAATCAGCTCCGCACACCCTTGGCATTAGACATTATCACCCAACCAGACATCAGAGAATTACTTCTTTGCCCGTTCCTTCCAGCCTAATAGAATAATACAGCTCAGTGTTCTGAAAAAAATTATAATTGATTCATTACATAAACGCTATGGGAATTGAAGTTCAGATTACTTTGGCTAAAAATCTGAATGAGTGGTGACCTCGCCCTGCACAGGCGTGAGCACGCCTCTCCAGTGCCTCCTGCTACTTTAGGCCCTGGGCTATCGTAGAGGAGGAGAGCTGCACTGTTGGTGCAATGTAAGTACTTTTCCTCATTAGAACATTTCCTCATCTGTTTCGTGTTTATCATCTTGGCGCATCTATTCTCTTTGTGTATAACTCATCCCTCGGTTAAAAGAAGGTAACCTAGTTTCTCACGATTTTCAGAATTATCCAGCGACTCCTGAAAACTGGCAGATATACATCAACAGCCTCAGTCTATATTAAGTAGTGTGAGGAATTTACAAAACTGACCTGTATGGTCTTTTACAGCCAATGCTATGTGTCCAAAAAGTACCAGGTGGCTCCTGAAATATCAAGTAAGTTGGGCAGTATTACCGTTCAGATGAGGGTTTGTGCGTCTAAAACTATGTGCCATGTAACCCGAGTGAATAGTAGTCATCGCAGCTTCTTTCTGTAGAGGAAGCAGGGAACTTGCACACCTACCAGAAATCACTCATCTCCTTCATATCATTTTTGGTCTACGTCACCTATCTGTCGTCTCTCTAGTCCTGAGCTATAGTTGGTAGGTGGTTTATGGTTAATACCTAGAATCCAATAAAGGTGTTTAACAATAGATGTTAGGAAGTTTTTGTCTTTACGTAAAAACTTTAGATTGTGCTTTTGAAGCATGGTCAGGCCACAGAATTGGTTTTTTGGCATCTTCTATAGCCGTCTGTTGGGGTTTTTAGTTATTTTCAGCTGCTAAAAGATAGTAGAATTCTTCACAGGAATTTCTCATAGAGATTTGTCATGCTGAGAAATAGCTTTTGAAACAATCACGGCCGGTTCATTGCTGGAGAACAGGGGCAAGTTTCTTCCGCTTTCTGCAGGCCAGGATCCCGTTGGGGTCATTCTGTAAGTTTGTTTATGCCATTTTTAATAACAAGGGCATCAGTGTTGCATGATTTGGATCTATTTCAGGAATTATGTCACTTAGTCATTTTGAGAGGTAAATACTTTGAGTGAATGTTTTTATGCAATAATACAAAGTTCATGGGACTTAGATGATTAGATTAGAAACATCACTTACAGCAAGAGCTGGAGTTGCAAGGAGCAGTTTGGGGGAAAGACTTGTATGGGCGTACAT